TTAAGCAGGTGATCTCCAGACTTTTTGATTATGTGCTCCTGTAAGTAAAAATATTGACATAACCCCAGAGGGTGTAGATTTATTTACAAATTATCTACACATATTATGCCAAGTCATAAATATTAATAAAAATTAATTGCTTTGCTTTGAATTAAAAACAAATGTTTTTAATCCAAGATGATACTTATATATTCCAGTATCATCTTGCTCTCTAATAGATTTGGAAGCCACTGCTCTGTCATCATTTTTATTTTCAGGAAGACATCATTCTCACAGCAGTATGCAGCACAGTGTGATTCAATAAATAGAGTCACCAAGTAATGAATATATATATATATGTGTGTGTGTGTGTGTGTGTGTGTGTGTGTGTGTGTGTGTGTGTGTACTAGGAGGCTCAGGAGTTGTCACAACTTGACTTTGCAGTGGTAGATCTCACCAATAGAAAGAGTTTAGCTATTGATGAAAGGGTGGCTGTAATAGAGTTGAGCAAGCCTCGGCACAGGTTTGACAGGCACTCTTCCCCTGGCCAGTTTTTTCAATTTTCCTTCAGGTTTCAGTTTAAATGTTCCTGAAAGAGGCCTTCCCAGACCTTGCAATCTGACTTATCAACTCTTGTTGATCCACTCATCACATCATGCTCTTTTCCTACATAAAGCTCATCACAATTTGTAATTCTTAGTATATTTGGGGGACCATGCCTTTAACAGCTGTCTCCCTACTGGACTGTACTCCCTGTGAGAATAGTAATTTGTTAACACTGTGTTTTTAGCAATGAGCCCTCAATCTAACACAAAATAGGTACTAAAGATTTTTTGTAGAATGAATGGACAAAGGAAATTAAGTTTGACCATCATAGTCCTTTTACTTCATACATATACTACCTTCTATCATGTAATGATATACGGCATAAACTAACACTTCCTTCTCTTAAGTGAGTCAGAGAGAATTACCTGAACCTTAAATGCTGGAGCTCAAGTGGTGACTATATGGACTGCTATATAGACTGGAGGGAACATAGGGCATACAGTGTGAGGGCTGTTCAAATTTTTGTCTCCATTTTAGTCTTAATCATGATTCTCCCTTTATAAATGCTTGCCTGCCTGCCTGCCTTCCGATTTCTTTCTTTTTCTTTTTTTCAATTTATTTCAATAGGTTTTTGGGGAACAGGTGGTGGTTGGTTACATGAACACGTTCTTTAGTGGTAATTTCTGAGATTTTGGTGCACCCATCACCTGAGCACTACGTACTGTACCCAATGTGTAGTCTTTTATCCCTGCCCCTTCTCCTACCCTTTCCCCCAAGTCTTCAAAGTTAAATGTATCATTCTTATGGCTTTGCATCCTCATAGCTTAGCTCCTGCTTATGAGTGAGAACATCCGATGCTTGGTTTTACATTCCTGAATTGCTTCATTTAGAATGATGGTCTTCAATTCCATTCATGTTGCTGCAAATGCCATTATTTCCTTCCTTCTTATAGCTGAGTAGAATCCTATGGTATATATACACCACAGTTTTTCTTTAGCCACTCATTTTTTGATAGGCATTTGGTTTGGTTCCATTTTTTGCCATTGCAAATTGTGCTGTTATAAACATGCATGTGCAACTATCTTTTTTGTATAATGACTTCTTTTCCTCTGAGTAGATACCTAGTAGTGGGATTGCTGGATCAAATGGTAGCTCTACTTTTAGTTCTTTAAGGAATCTCCACACTGTTTTCCACAGTGGCTGTATTAGTTTACATTGCCACCAGCACTGTAAAAGTGTTCTCTTTTCACCACAGCCCTACCAAGATCTATTAGTTTTTTTATTTTTTTATTATAGGCATTCTTGCAGGAGTAAGGTGGTATGATATTGTGGTTTTGATTTGCATTTCCCTGATTATTAGTTATGTTGAACATTTTTTTCATATGTTTGTTGGCCATTTGTATATCTTCTTTTGAGAATTGTCTAATCATGTCCTTAGCCTACCTTTTGATGGGATTGTTTTTTCTTGCTGATTTGAGATCCTTGTAGAGTCTAGATGTTAGTCCTTTGTTGGATGTATAGATTGCACAGATTTTCTTCCACTATGTGGGTTATTTATTTATTTATTTATTGAGACAAAGTCTTGCTCTGTCACCCAGGCTGGAGTGCAATGGTGCAACCTCAGCTCACTGCAACCACTGTCTCCTGGATTCAAGTGATTCTCCTGCCTCAGCCTCCTGAGTAGCTGGGATTACAGGTGGCCACTATCATGTCTGGCTAATTTTCTTTTTTTTTTTTTTTTTTGCGTCTTGCCTTAGGGTCATTTCTTTCACAATGTCACCCCAGGTTCACATTTCCGACCTCAGAGGCATTAGTAAAAGAATTAGATCACCTATGAATAACTAAGATCTCCTATGAATAACTAATTACTACTATGGTTACGTTTCTAGTTACTTTCTTCTTCATTTTTTTTAATGGATAATAAACATTATTCTTTTTTATTTTTTTTCTAAAAAAAAGAAGAAAGAAAAAAGAATGAAGGAGAGGAAGAAAGAGAAAGAGGAAGAGGGAGAGAGAACGGGGGTGTTGCTTTATTGCCTGGGCTAGAATGCAGTCTAAAAATGGGTATGCCTATAATTGTGCTTAAAAATAGAGACATGAAAAAAAAAATGAGGGAAGAAAATAACAAACAAGCAGCTAACCAATATTTCATTGAAACCTGTAAATAGATGTGATGTGGTACTGATAATAGTGTATATTTTGTGTATTTAAAGTGGAGAGTTCTATAAATGTTAATTAAGTTTACTTGTTCCGGATCTGAGTTCAAATCCTGGACATCGTTGTTAATTTTCTGTCTCATTGATCTGTCTAATATTGATCTTAAAGTCTCCCACTATTATTGTGTGGGAGTCTAAGTCTCTTTATAACTCTTATGTATCTGGGTATTCCAGTATTGGGTGCATATATATTTAGGATCTTTAGCTCTTCTTGTTGCATTGATCCTTTTATCATTATGTAATATCCTTCTTTGCTTTTTTTGATCTTTGTTGCTTTAAAGCAACTCCTGCTTTTTATTTATTTATTTATTTTTGCTCTCCATTTGGTTGGTAAATCTTTTCCATCCCTTTGTTTTGAGTCTTAGTGTATCCTTGCATGTGAGATGGGTCTGGATGCAGCATACCGATGGGTTTTGGCTTTTTTTGCCGGTCTGTGTCTTTGGAGTGGGGGATTTAGTCGATTTAAATTTAGAATAATAATATATGTGAGTTTAATACAGCCATTTAATGTTAGCTGGCTGTTTTGCCTATTAGTTGATGTAAATTCTTGATTATGTTGATGCTCTTTACTTTTTGGTATTTTTTAGAAAGGCTGATACTGGTTGTTCCTTTCTATGTGTAGTGGTTCTTTCAGAAGTTCTTGTAAAGCAGGCCTGGTGGTGATGAAATCTCTGAGTGCTTGCTTGTTCACAAAAGATTTTATTTTTCCTTCGCTTATGAAGCTTCGTTTGGCTGGATGTAAAATTCTGGGTTGAAAGATCTTTTCTTTAAGGATGTTGAATATCGGCCCCCACTCTCTGCTGGCTCGTAGGGTTTCTGCTGAGAGATCTGCTGTGAGTCCGATAGGCTTCCCTTTATGGGTAACCTGACCTTTCTCTCTGGCTGTCCTCAGTATTTTCTCCTTCATTTCAACCCTGGTGAATCTGGCGATTATGTGCCTTGAGGTTGGTCTTCTTGAGGAATATCTTTGTGGTGTTCTCTGTATTACCTGGAGTTGAATATTGTCCTGCCTTGCTAGGCTGGGAAAGTTTTCCTGAATAATATCCTGAAGCGTATTTTCCAGCTTGGATTGATTCTCTACGTCACATTCAGGTACACCTATCAAACGTAGATTAGGTCTTTTCACATAGTCCCATATTTCTTGGAGACTTTGCTCATTCCTTTTTATCCTTTTTTCTCTAATCTTGTCTTCTGGTTTTATTTCATTAAGTTGGTCTTCAATTTCTGATATCTTTTCTTCTGCTTGATCAATTTGGCTGTTAAAACTTGCGCATAGTTCGCGAAGTTCTTGTGTTGTGTTTTTCAGCTCCATTAATTCACTTACATTCCTCTCTAAATTGTGTATTCTTGTTAACATTTCGTCAAATCTTTTTTCAAAGTTCTTAGTTTCTTTGCATTGGGTTAGAACAAGTTCTTTTAATTCACAGAAGCTTCTTATCATCCACCTTTTGAAGGCTGCTTCTGTTAATGGAACACACTCGTTCTCCATCAGGCCTTGTTCCGTTGCTGATGAGGAACTGTGATCCCCTGTAGAGGGAGAGGCATTCTGATTTTGGGTATTCTCAGCCTTTTTAGGCTGTTTTCTTCCCTTCTTTATAGATTTATCCATTTGTGGTCTTTATAATTGAGTTTCTGAGTGGACGTCCAACTTGTTGATTCCCAGCGCTAAAATCTGAGCAACCCACTGCCCCAGCCAAAACAGCGGCGTTATGATTGATGATGCTTTTCTGAGTCTGCACCAAGAACTGCCGTACCAAGGCAGTGGCAAAACTGCCTCACCGGCCACAAGAGTCGCACTGGCGACCCGTGGAGCTCCTCCGCTGGGAGTCTCCTGGTGCGTGAGCAACAAAAATTCATCTGAAAGTGTGGCGTCCTCTGGTTCTCTGCGCTTTCACTGGGAGCTACAATCCCGAGCTGTTAGTGATCAGCCATCTTGGATCTCTCTCTTCTTCATTGTTGTCTGGCTAATTTTTATATTTTTAGTAGAGAGAGGTTTTTGCAATGTTGGCCAGGCTGGTCTTGAACTCTTGACTTCAGGTGATCCACCTGCCTTTGCCTCCCAAAGTGCTGGCATTACAGGTGTGAGCAACTATGCCCACCCTGCTGATTGCTTCTTTGGCTGTGCAGAAGCATTTTAGTTTAATTAAGTCCTATCTATTTATCTGTGTTTTTGTTGCATTTGCTTTTGGGTTTTTGGTCATGAAGTCTTCGCCTAAGCCAATGTCTAGAAGGGTTTTTCCAGTGTTACCTTCTAGAATCTTAATGGTTTCAGGTCTTAGAGTTAAGTCTTTGATCCATCTTCAGTTGATTTTTATATAAGGTGAAAAATGAGGATCCAGTTTCATTCTTCTACATGTGTCTTGCCAATTATCCCAGCACCATTTGTTGAATAGAGTGTCCTTTACCTACTTTACATTTTTGTTTTCTTTATTGAAGATCAGTTGGCTGTAGATATTTGGGTTTATTTCTGGGTTCTCTATTCTGTTACATTGGTCTATATGCCTATTTTTCTGATATGCCATGCAGATATATATTGTTCAGGCCTATTATTCACATTAGTCTTAGTGGGGAAATGTCAGTGACTGTCAAAATCACAACTTTCTGCTGAGATTAAAGGAATCCAATTGAGCAACAGATGGTCAACAGCAGAAGATTTGCTCTCTACTTTCCTGGGTTTTTACTCTGTTACTTATAAAATTGTTGATCATAGGTCATCGGATCCAGTGAAAGAAGCCCATATGAGCTGAGATATCTATTTCATTTACTGTGTCGATACAAGAAGAAAACATGTCCCAACCTTAAATATTGATTATACCTGACATGCAAAACATGCCAGTGTCCCAGATCCCCAGTTACTATTAGGCTGAATGTTTTATTATATCCTCTTCCATCCACTTTGTATGGACTTACCTGTGATGTCATTATTAAATCACTTTCATATTATATTACAGTCAGGTTGCTTTTCTGGCTTGACTTTAGGGAGCATTATCTAATTTTAGCTGAGTGTAAGTCTGTATCATGCTGTTGTGTGAGTATATTTTAAATGCACTTTGCATAGCCATATTTTGATGGGTACGTTTCATAAATACGCAACAATTGATCCTTGTATAGCTGCCTTTAACCAGTTTCAGTATTTTCTTCAATAGCTTCTTTGCATGTATCATTTTGTCATTTCTCAGTTAAGGGAATGCTCAGAACTTGCCAGAAGCAGCAAAAATTCACATTTATAGAACACCTTTTCACTGTATTGAGATTTTTCATCTTTCATAATCTTTCTGGAAGACATTTCTGAGGAATTTCTCAGAAGACAGATGCATTGGTTTCTGTGACTGATGACAGTCTGACTTCACAAGTGGCCTTCTTGAGAGGTTACTAAGACTTGACACATTAACATCCCATAAATCTCCCATGTTCCAAGTCTTAAACATACATTTCCTTTCCCATAGCCAGAGCACAGAGAGATGCTTGTGCTCCTTTGACAGTCATGCCTAAGAAAGGAAAACAGGGAGCCGCTTTTACACAGACATAAACCTGCTTGATGTCTCAGATATTTTATGTACATACCCCACTTCTCTCTTGAAGTCTCCAAGAAAACACATGTGACCTTTGATAGTTCAGAAAAATCTTGTAAACCTCTCTGTGATGTTTAATAATTTCACTCTTCTTACTGGAATGATGTACCAGCCGGTACAGACAGCTTGTGGAACTCAGCTCATGGGTAAATGTTCAGTCTCACGCTGTTTTAACAACATTGGCTCCATCATCAGTGCAAATAGAAACAGTGGAAAGAATCTGAGGAGTGAGATATTTATTTGGAATTTCAGCTGTGATTATGTCTTTCCAGGCACTGCAATGAAGGTGCACTTTCTGAGAGATGAAGAACCAGCACAGTGTCACAGGGTCCCCTGCGAGGGCTTACTCAAAATTTGCTGGTAATGATTATGATGTCATTCCTCGAGGCAAGAGTCAGTTAACAAACTCTTTGAATCTAAATCAGCCCTGATTTAATTTGCCCATCAGTAAAGGTTGAAACAGGGAGAAATTCAAAGTATACATTTTGTAGAAGAAAGAGACTGCAATTTTTAAATGAATGCACAAGCCATATGCAGCCTTTTAAAGGAGGATGTTCAATTTTTCCACTCTTTCTTTCCAATTATGAGTTCTCCTTGCACCCTGGGCAGGAAAAAGTCAGTATAATTATGCCCAAATAAGAAGATTAAGTCTAGAACTTAACCCAATTTTCTTTATCATCACAAAATGTGTCTTGTATTATGTGTATGTGTTTTTAATTTGCATAACTGCTATTGTCTTTTTTTTTTTTTTTAAACAGTCTCACTTTGTCACCTCAGCTGGAATGCAGTGGTGCAAACATGGCTCACTGTAGCCTTAACATCTTTTCCTATTATCTATTTTATTCAGTTTATTTCTTTTTATTCTTAGCACTGTGGAATATGTCTTGCATTGGGCTCACCAACTTGTAACATGTTTACAATAGGCCCTTGTTTCTAATGAGTTGCTTATCCCTTTTTTCTTCTTCCTTTTCTTTTTTTTTTTTTCAGTTGGAGTTTCACCCTGTAACCCACGTTGGATTGCAGTGGTGCAATCTTGGCTCACTGCAATCTCCGCCTCCCGGGCTCAAGCGATTCTTATGCCTCAAACTCCTGAGTAGCTGGGACTATAGGCATGCACCACCACGCCCAGCTAATTTTTGTATTTTTAGTAGAGATGGGGTTTCTCCATGTTGGCCAGGCTGGTCTCGAACTCCTGGCCTCAAGTTATCCACCTGCCTCAGCTGCCTAAATGCTAAGATTACAGGCACAAGCCACTTCACCCAGCTTCTTCCTTCATTTTGTATTGATTGTTGACTCACTAGGAAATACCTCTCATGTATTTTAGGGTGAGACTTAACAATTGTCTATTCTAGTGGTTCTCAATTCTGGCTGCCCAACAGAATCTTTTGATGCTTTTGAAAAAGCATCATACCCAGACTGCATCCCAAACCAATGAAATCATGACATGGAAGCAAGGGGACCCAGTAGCAATACCTGTAGAGCTTCTCAAGTGACTCCACTGTGTAGCTGAGGGTAAGAACCGCTAGTCTGTACAAATGGTTCAAACAATTAATAGGCAGTTCAAAGTTTTAAAAAGTTTAAAATCCCACAAATTTTCAATTAAAAAAATTAAAAGTCTCACAAACCCATTAGACAATTGATGATTATCTGGAAAGATTTCATAATGCCAAACCCTGCGAAGATGGAAAGAAATAAGACAGACATGTTAATATGGCAGGTTTAGCAATTACTACATTCTCTGAGTAACTATTCAAGGCAGTATGTTATAGACCTACTGGCTTCTAACTCAGACTCCGCACCTCATACTAGCTGTAAGACTTTGGGCATGTTATATATCATCTCAGTGCGTCTGTTTCCACTTCTGTAAACTAGCATTGATATTACCAAAACCATTTTCATATCATAAAGATGAAGGGTCAGCAAATATTTTCTGATAAGGGCTTATAATTTTTGCTTCATAGGTCATATGGTCTCTCTGCAACTACTCTACTCTGCCATTGTAGCACAAAAGCAGCCATAGACATTAGGTAAATGAATGGATTTGGCTGCGTTCCAATAAAACTTTATTTACACAAACAGGTAGTAGCCCAAATTTGGCCACAAGATATAATTCGTCAATGCTTGTACTAATATGGTTGTACTATAATGTATCTGACAGGTTTAAATGTATGGAAAGACTCATAAGGAGAATGAAAGAAAGGAACCATAATAACTTGTAGGAATGTATCACAGTTCCTATCTGCAAACTCATACAAATCCAGGTAGGGAGAGCCAAATGCCTGAATGGTATTTAAGATCTTATTCAGGAGCACATCTGTGGTAGGCACAATAATGTACCCCTCCAAAGATGTCCATGCCTTAATACCCTTATACTATAATGGTTGGCAAAACGGGTTGCTATGTTTGTTGTCATTGGTACGAAGCCTAAAAAGTAGCCCATCTCTTTAAGACATGTGCGCTTAGCCTTCTCTCTCAGCTCCACCTTGGCTTCCTTTCAAGAGGACCAGCCTCCAGCACATAGCACAAAGCTACAATAGCTGCAGTTCTTAGGACGGGCGAAAGCATCAGGTTTCCCCTGTTCATGAATGCTCTCTCCCCTTCCAGTCAACACAGTCACAGAGCAAGGAGAAAAGAAAACTAAGGCCAGAGCGCAGGGCCAGGAGTACACATCTCCCAGTGGTGTATCACTTTACAGGAGCAAACACCACAGACACTAAAGCCATTAGGGAAAACTGTGAATTAAACCATGAGTGGTAAGGAGCTGCCAAAATCCCAGAGATGCAATAAATCATTACTGTCAACTGCTCAGCATGAGTAATAAAAAATCAATTCACTAAGCTAGAAATGAATTTGAAAATTGTGCTTTAAACAATAGAAATGTGTGAGCAAAATAAACAGAGAAGCAGTTCTGCTATTTCATCTTTCAAATAAGGACAGAGGAGAGTGATACCGGGGGTTTATTTTCTTTTACATCAACAGAGCAGTAATCAATGAGGGATGGCTGTGTGAGTCAGCAGTAAGAAACAAAACTGAATGTAGTGGTGTACTCTTTTCTGAGGATATCAAACCCATTATTTTTTTTTTGTTTCCAAGTCACATTTCAAAGGCTAGATCTTTCCCAGGGCTTAAGCTGTTCCTCGGATACTTTCAGTAAGTCATTTATTCACTAATAATTTAGTAATCGTCTCCAACATGCAGAACACTGTGCTCAGGGCTGGAAATACAGAACCTGGGAAGCCACTCGCCTTGTCCTCAAGATCTCTCTCTGGCCCTCTTTGAATTTGCTAATTCAGATTTCCACATTTCTGAAGTTTTCCCCCAGAAAAAATCATAAGGACCAAATTATATCCAGTTTCTCAAATGGCTTCAAAGACCCATGTGGGGTCTTTGGCATTGTGTAATTCTTTACTGATGTACTTTCAGAGTCAAGTTTTACTTTCTTCATGCAGCTGTCAAAGACAGACACAAAGAGTGGGGGTGTCTTCCTCATCAAATCCTCTCCCACAGTACTCCAGAGTATTTTCATCATTTAAGTAAACACTAACAGTTATCTGACTTGTTTAAATGTATGAAAAGACTCTTGAGGAGAGGGAAAGAAAGGGACTGTAATAACTGATAGGAATTTATCACAGTTCCTATCTGCAAACTCATATAAAAGCCAGGTAGGAAGAGCCAAATGCCTGGATGGTATTCAAGGTCTTATTCAGGAGCACATCTGTGGTAGGCACAATAATGCAACCCTCCAAAGATGTCCATGCCTTAATCCCCTGAAGCTGTGGACATGTAACCTTACATTACAAAACAGACTTTGCAAGTGTGATTAAGTTAAGCATCTTGAACTGGAAACATTATCCTGGATTATCTGCTTGGGCCAAGGTAATCACAAGAGTCTTTATAAAGGAAAGAAGGAGGCAGAAGAGTCAGAGAGAGAGAGAGAGAGATTTGAAGATGCTATGCTGCTGGTTTTGATGGCAGAGAAAGGAAGTGGTGGGGCAAAGAATGCAGGAGGCTTTTAGAAGTTAGAAAAGGCAAGGAAACAGATTCTCCTTGACAGCCTCCTAAAAGGAACACAGCTCTATGGCCTCCAGAGCTGCAAAATAATAAATGTGTTGTTTTTAAGCCACTAAGATTGTGGTGATTTGTTACAACAGCTAGAGAAAACTAAGACAGCACACCTGGACAGGTATAGTGCTAACAGTGAAGAAAGGGAGAGGTAGGTACCCTTTAATTCATGTGTGTCGGTTTGCCATTCCAGTTAATTTGTTTACAGTCATGCTGTAAGCAAGGCTGTTTATTTGCAGCCCCCACTTCTCTGTTCTAAATAACATAAGACTATCTTAATGATTTGTTGGGGATTTGAGGATATTTTATTGGCACAGCATGTTTCTCACATCAGATTATTTGTTTGACTGATGATTGGAAAACACAGAAAAATACAAAATATTACCTGGGGAGCTAGAGAAAATGTTCTCTAAGAGATAGGAACAATTATATGTTTGTAGGTATATGTGTGCATGAATGAAACTATATTCTAGCCCATGAGATCTTCAAGACTCTTAGAAACACACTGATCAATAACTTTTAAATAAATTTATCTTGACAATCAAATGGCAAAATTTTAAAAACAACAGAATATATTATATTTACATATTCATAATCTTAATATACAGTCCTTTTCATATATCCATGTAAAAGACCCTTATCTACGACCAAATTAGTGTTCCAAAATAGGGATATTTTAGAAAATTTATTAGTTATGCTCAAGCAATGAAGGTGACAGTGGGATGTGACCACAGAACAGAATTCCAGATTTGATAATTCTGCAATCTCAGAATTTTGGTGGTATTTCTAATTCTAACCCATCACATGCTCCTTCCTATCACCAAGGCATAGCTCTAAGTGTTTTACAAATATGAACTAATTTAATCTCACAGCAACCCCTTGAGGTGGTCGCTTTCACGATCCCCATTATGCAAACAAAGTAACTGAGGCACACAGAGGCTAAGTAACTTGCCCAAAGTCCTAGAGAATTTTAACCCCCTAGTCATGAAGAGGATTTGAGAACTGTTGGCCTGCTCCAGGGATATCATGGTGTGGAACCCTCAGCAGGAATGCAGGAAACTGGCCCTGATACAGGAACAGCAGAGAACATGATGATGGGGTTCTGATACACCCATAACCATGGCAACCCAGTCCCACAGGAAGGTGGTAGAAGGCCCTTAATGGGGGAAAACTACCAAACCCAAAGAGCAAGACTAATGTTTGTGATCGAAAAGAGGAGTGATCATTATGCAGATTATGCAGTTTTGACTGAAGAAGCTTCCCACTGAGAGGGCAAATTTCCTTCCTCTCAAGTTATCACTGAGCTGAGCAGAAGGTCAGTCTATGGTGGGAGCAGAAGACCTCCCCAAGCAGGCCTGATCACAGTGGGGAAGAGGAGCCATCACCTAAGAAGTGGGAGGGAGGAGAGGAGGAAAAATGATGCTAGTCCAGGTTGAGTCCCATAATAACATCATAAACATAACTTCATGACATGGACCCAGGAGGAAAATAAACCATTATAGTAAATAGCAAAATCAGCAGTGTTCCAACTGTTAATTGGCTCATACTAGAATAGTAAAAACACTAAAATATTTAATTGACTTTTTAAAAATTGAAGCTTTACTATTTCCATGTGATATCGGAAGTCAAATTGGCTAATAAAAGCCTATAGCAAATCGCCATAACAAAATGCTTTTTTCACTTGTACCTCACTTACAGGTAAAACAGTGTTTTTAGTTCAACATCTCACGCTCATCCAAACCATTACCAAAAAACATTGCTTATCAACTCGATATACATTTGTTTATAAACTAATAAACTCACAGAATGTAATAGCACTTGAATCTTTGGGCAACATGTAAGCAAGGCAGTTTTTGTTTAAACAGTCAGAAGGCTCTTTGCTAGGGCATTAAACAAAAGCTTTGTTTCCTACTCCTCCCAAAAAACTTTGATTTATCAGAACTCTGAATTAGATTTTCCTAAACTATGTAGAAGAACCAAACATGTTAAAAATTGAAACAAGGAAACATTTGGTTTATTTAAGAACATGTACCCAAACATATGTGTCTAGATTTCTTGAGTTTTCAAATCTCAGCCCAAAATATCTTGGGAAAACAGACATACCGAAGAGATTTCTTGGCATATATCTGAGTTGTAAATACTGAGAGAATAATGTTCCTCTAAATAATTCTGGCACGTTTAGTGTCAAGATCAACAATACTTAGAAGAGAATCTGATTTCATCAAAGTTAGTGTTGAAGTCTAATTTTAATCAAATTATATAAACTACTAATTTCTGACAGTTGATTTATTTGCATTTATGCTGCCACAAAGTGAAAAAAAGGTCCTGCTTACTGGAGCAGAGCTGAAAAGAGAGCCACTTTGTCTTGTGACTTCCTCCCCTACTGCCAATGTTCATAAACGTATAAACTCACAGAATTTAATAGCTGAAGCCATTTTAGCCCTTCAGTCTTTGGGCAACATAAAGCAGTGGGAAAAGCATGAATTTTGCGGGTGGCATGAAGAAACCTAGCTCAACCCATGTAGTGGGCAAAAAGTATTCACTAAGTGGGAAAAGATGTCTATAGAAGGCTGTTTGCTGAGGCAGGCACTGTTTATAATAATAAATAAAAATAAGTGTAAGCAAAATGCCCATAAATGGAACTACTTAAGTGTGGTGAAACTATACAACAGAGTACTGAGCAATCTTTTAAAGCCATGTTGTGGATCTGTATTTGTTGCATGAGATGTTGTCCATGAAATAGTGATGAAATGAGAGGGGCCAGTCAAAAAATAACATGTGCAGGGCAATCCTATGTAAGTAAAATTGAATATATATTGTACATGTATATATATGTGCAGAGAGATATCTTATAGGAGGTTCACCAAAATGACAACTATGGCTCTCTCATGATACGATTTCTAGTGATCATTTTTTTTTCTAGTTTTCACTTTTTGGCACTGAGTGGTTCTACAATGAATATGTAATATTTTTACAGAAATTATAAAGCTGAAATACTATGCAGTAGTTTGAACCAACCATGTATACACAGAGCAGTATGGATGTATTTTAAAAACACAGTGCTAGGAATAAAAAGAAATAAGCTGAATGAAATATATAATAAGAAAAGAGGTCCAGGCTGCAGTGAGCCATGTTTGCACTACTGCATTCCAGCCTGGAGGATAAAGTGAGACCCTGTTCCAAAAAAAAAAAAGAAAAGAAAAGAAAATAGCAATTATGCAAATTGAAAACCCATGCACATAATACATGACACATTTTGCAAGAGCCTATTCATAAAATATACATATTAACCAGTATATTCATCAGTTGTAACAAATGTACCACTCTGGTGGGGGACGTTGATAATTTGGGAGGTTATGAATGCATGTGTGAGGATGTGGGGCATAGATGGAAAATTTCTGTGCCTTCCTCTCAATTTTACTATGAACCTAAAACTGCTCAAAAAATAAGATCTTTAAAATGAAATACTTATTGAATATTTTTCAGTGATTGTCCTTGGTGGAGGCTAGGAAAGGGGCAATGGAAGAATGGAGTGGTGGCAAAAGGAATAAACCAATAAATTAATTGCCTGAACTAATACTAATGATAATAGGTTGCCCTGTACTATTAGTCAATCGCACCACACACACACACACACACACACACACCACATCTGAGGGTCTCAAAATATGTAGGCATGAACTTGAAAGCAAGAAATATTTCAATGTATAAATATCTGCACATACAGAAATATTGATAGGATTTTTAGCTATTTTCAAAGAAACTAAGGTACATAAGATTTACAACCATTTAGACTTACATACACATGATCTTGGACACATAATTTCACCTCACTGAAGCCCCACTGGTTTGTATGTAAGATAAAGAGAAGAATAACTACCTTTCTGAGGTGTTATAAAAAGTTGTGGTAATCGTATCTTCAAAAATAATTATGATTCCCAGTTACAGCTCAGACAAGTAGAGCTTAGAAGCTGTCACTCCCATTCTTATAGCAAGCAAAAGCTGGACAAGCTAAAAATCAACAAGTTGTTTTGGACCCATCAGAGAACTAAATTTGCAAGTCAAATCACCATGCTGAAATCTGGTAACAGGCAAATCGAGAGTCACAAACACAATCTGCTTACCTAAAATAGAAGCCGCTGGAGCCATAAACTTGTAGGAACACTTACATAGTAATTTAGATAAGTTGCTGGAGGCTGAGTGTAGACTGGCTTGAGACTGAGAAGCTCCTTGTGACCACCATATTTCATTAGCTTTATCTCCAGGATCCCAACTAGATTCTATGGTGAAGAGTCAATAAAGTTACCCTTGTGGCTTTGGCAGGGAGAGTAGAAGGGTAATCTTGGTTAAAAAAAAAAAAAAAAAAAAATCCAGAACCTTCTCCCTAATAAAGGCCTAGTCTTCAGAGGAAAGGACTTTACTGGAGTCTTGTCCCAGATATCTCACCGTAGCCGCCTCTAGCATTCCTCACCTGATTGG